AAAACGATTCTGAGCGAAGACGGTATGTTAGTCTAGGTTTAAGACAAATTATATACATATCTATGGTATTAAAAAAAATTGACCTAAAATAAATTCCAAATTAATCATATCACAATATCCATTAGGTACTTATAACACGTTATACACCAACAACAAACCCTGATACTATCATATATATATAATAGTACACTTTAGAAGTTTCAAGTAGGTACCCACGAATAATATTATATAATCACAACAAAATAACTAGGTTTTTTAATATGTAATTTCGTCCAAATTTGAACATAAAATGACTATAAAAATAAACTGTGATTGTATATTTTTTAGATTTTTCGGTAAGAGAATTAACTACTTACGTGGAATCTTGTTTTAAATTTTCAATCCTTAGCTATAAAAACTGAACATTTTATAATTTATTAATTACGATGATTAATAATTTTCGAGATTTTGAAAAATTCTGTCAAAATTCGATGTTAAAATGCTTATAAAAAAAATTGTGCCTATGTATTTTTAATATTTTTCAACTGATATTGTAACAATATATCAGGAGCCTTGTATTAAATTTTTACACTTTTTGGCCCAACAGATAAAACTTAATTGATATTTATAGAAAAAAAAACTAAAAAAATTGAAAACTGAAAATGTCCGTAAACGGCTCAAAAAGAGTCAAAATATTTTCAAAATTGTATGGTGTATAGGAAATTCTAATATAAACATTCAGTGAAATTTTCATGTATTTACAGTAATTCGTTTTTTAATTACAACAAAAAAAGGAAATTGCCACATGAGAAATCGAGTGAATATCCAATGTTGTAAAAATTTGAATTTCAAACGCTCATAAAAATTTAATTTGACTTTCCGGTAGAGATTTTTTTATTGATAAAGGTAGACAATCTTATGAGTAATCTTGTATTAGATTTTCAAATCATAGATTTAAAAAGAAAATTTTTACGAATTCTTAACTCAAAATAATTTGCTAATTTTCGTGATTTTTCCATATTTTGTCAATTTTTGAACTTTAAATGCTTATAAAAAAAAATTGTGACTAAGGATTTTTAATATTTTTCATCTGCCTTTGAAACAATATATTAGGAGCCTTCTATTAAATTTTCAAGCTTTCGCAACCAACAAATAAAATTTTATTGATATTTCTAGAAAAAAAACTAAAAAAAACGAAAAATGAAAATGTCCCTAAACAGTTCAAAATAAATCAAAATATTTTGAAAATGTTATCGTGTATAGAAAATGCAAATATAAACAACCAGTGAAAATTTCATGTATATACGTTCATTTGTTTTAAAGTTACACCAATAACCAAAATCGATTTTTTGGAAAATCAATTTTGCGTAAAAATTCCCGTTTTTCCTTAATTTTTATGTTGTTTTTCCCGGCGCGTGTGAAAACTACTGGGAAATTTAAATTTTGACCTCCCCAATGCACCAACGATATTCACTTTCCAATCGAACAAGATACTGAAGTCGAAAATCGAAGCATTATTTCGACTACTTATCGTGTACACAGATACAAAAAAATAAAAAAATAAAAAAATAAAAAATAAAAAAATAAAAAATAAAAAAATAAAAAAACACACATCATTGTAAAATCAATACATTCATCGTTTCACTCAGAATCTAAAACATGTATGTAAAATCAAAACCTAAGATTCAAACTAATGTCAATGTATTTGAATTAATAACGATTTTATAAAATTTAAAATAGCAAAATTATGAACAACCTATACTGTTTTATTTTAGATTCTGAGTGAAACGATGAATGTATTGATTTTACAATGATGTGTGTTTTTTTTTTTATTTTTTTTTTTATTTTTTTTATTTTTTTTTTATTTTATTTTTTATTTTTTTGTGTCTGTGTACACGATAAGTAGTCGAAATAATGCTTCGATTTTCGACTTCAGTATCTTGTTCGATTGGAAAGTGAATATCGTTGGTGCATTGGGGAGGTCAAAATTTAAATTTCCCAGTAGTTTTCAAGAGCGCCGGGAAAAACAAAAGAAAAATTAAGGAAAAACGGGAATTTTTACGCAAAATCGATTTTTCAGAAAATTGAATTTGGTTTTTGGTGTAACTTTAAAACAAATGACCGTAGGTACATGCAATTTTCACTGGTTGTTTATATTTGCATCTTCTATACACGATAACATTTTCAAAATATTTTGATTTATTTTGAACAGTTTAGGGACATTTTCATTTTTAGTTTTTTTTTAGTTTTTTTTCTAGAAATATCAATAAAATTTTATTTGTTGGTTGCGAAAGCTTGAAAATTTAATAGAAGGCTCCTAATATATTGTTTCAAGGGCAGATGAAAAATATTAAAAATCCTTAGTCACAATTTTTTTTTATAAGCATTTAAAGTTCAAAAATTGACAAAATATGGAAAAATCACGAAAATTAGCAAATTATTTTGAGTTAAGAATTCGTAAAAATTTTTCTTTTTAAATCTAAGATTTGAAAATCTAATACAAGATTACTCATAAGATTGTCTACCTTTATCAATAAAAAATCTCTACCGGAAAGTCAAATTAAATTTTTATGAGCGTTTGAAATTCAAATTTTTACAACATTGGATATTCACTCGATTTCTCATGTGGCAATTTCCTTTTTTTGTTGTAATTAAAAAACGAATTACTGTAGATACATGAAAATTTCACTGAATGTTTATATTAGCATTTCCTATACACCATACAATTTTGAAAATATTTTGACTCTTTTTGAGCCGTTTACGGACATTTTCAGTTTTCAATTTTTTTAGTTTTTTTTTTCTATAAATATTAATTAAGTTTTATCTGTTGGGCCAAAAAGTGTAAAAATTTAATACAAGGCTCCTGATATATTGTTACAATATCAGTTGAAAAATATTAAAAATACATAGGCACAATTTTTTTTTATAAGCATTTTAACATCGAATTTTGACAGAATTTTTCAAAATCTCGAAAATTATTAATCATCGTAATTAATAAATTATAAAATGTTCAGTTTTTATAGCTAAGGATTGAAAATTTAAAACAAGATTCCATGTAAGTAGTTAATTCTCTTACCGAAAAATCTAAAAAATATACAATCACAGTTTATTTTTATAGTCATTTTATGTTCAAATTTTGACGAAATTACATATTAAAAAACCTAGTTATTTTGTTGTGATTATATAATATTATTCGTGGGTACCTACTTGAAACTTCTAAAGTGTACTATTATATATATATGATAGTATCAGGGTTTGTTGTTGGTGTATAACGTGTTATTAGTACCTAATGGATATTGTGATAATGTGATATGATTAATTTGGAATTTATTATAGGTCAATTTTTTTTTAATACCATAGATATGTATATAATTTGTCTTAACCTAGACTGACATACCGTCTTCGCTCAGAATCGTTTTTCTTATACAATGATATTGTATCATTGAATTCAAATTTAATAGCATCAATTATACAGTGACCCACTTGTAACCTACTGTACAGCAGAGCGACATCCACTTACCCACCTTTTTTAATTTGATTTAATAAGATAAAACTAGTTATAACTTATAACATATAAATGAAGTTATATGATTAACCTTCGAGTTCTGGCTGATTTCGAAATAAATGAAAGTAATAGTTGAAATTCAATTAATAGAAACTAATTACCGGCTGGCCATTAAGATAATACCTATTAATATTTGGCAGTAATTGTATCTGAACTTATAACACGTCTTATACCTCTACACAGAAATAAACTATTTTTGCACATTATTATTTTTTATTGGTACAGTCGTAAAATTTAGGTCGAGCATGAGCACATTGGACTGATGGAGATAAAATTGTAGGTAAATAATTATCAATGTAGATTGTAGGTCGCACATAAGAGTAGGACCGGTGCCTAATATTTATTTCAAATGGCCTTTACGACAGTTGTACCTTCCTACGCGTATTGTAATAAATAATGATTTTTTAAACGTATAAATAAAATACTGGTTTTAATGCAGTCGATAACGATATAAATAGATGTATAATTCAATATTATGTTTATTTATGTTCGAAGTTCTGTGTTTGGGTTCGTACGGTGCACACATAGAAAACTATTGTAGTTTCAACACCAATTTGAGTTAAACTCATACACATGTGCACGTTATATTCCGACTAAGGTTGGTTTGGTGTTAAAACAACATCAGTAGTTTGTTAAGCGTGATTCCCAAATTATCCCGCTATTTTGGTCGTCTTGACTTCTAAATTAGGTTAAAATAACAACAATTATTGGTTGTATTAAATTCCATAAGTAGTTAGATTTACTATCATATTAGTTGTCAAATCTACACCAACACATTTTATATTAACTACAAGCTTATTGTTATATTGAGTGTTCTATGTTTTATTTTAAGATATAGCCAAATATTTTAAAACAACACCAATCTAATGTTATCGTAAATATTTTATAAATTTATTTTAAAAATAATTTGTAAAAAAATGCAACATTCGGAGTACGGCTTTATTGCTACAGCCATTCGACCAACTCGGATTCGAACTCGCTATCCCCGGGTTGTTAATCATACCTACCTACCTATCGACTACCTATTCATATGATAGAAACATACAAAAACATGGTATTTAAGAGAATGTTTTTATAATATAATTTTACATAATATTGCATTTCATGTGTTTAGCTTTAAATAAGAATGTAATATTCTTAATATTATATTTTTAATCATAAGAAAAATGTTTACATAATTATTTTAATAGTTAAAGGTAAGTATATTTATTATATTACATAGTATAAAATTAATACAAAAAAAATACAATTATTACAATTAAAAATTAAAATTATAGTGCATATCTTAATGACGCATACATACTACCATTTCCCAAAACTCTAAGAACTGTAGGCGTCGAATTAGGTAAATCTTTTATATAACAACCTATTAGATTATTTTCTTTTTCATCATATTTCGTTAATTCATATGCATGGAAATGAGAGTCGAACCCGACAGTAAGAAAAAGCTCACACACTATGTCACTATGTATGGAGTTCTTGAATTACCAAGAATAATATTTATTATTTTTCCAAATATACAATTATTTAAATTGATTTCCAAAATTACAAGCATACCTGGTTTGTAAGAAATTCCTCTAAGTTCTATCCAAGGTGCTGAAGTTACTACATGTTTTAATTCGATAGGTAAAAAATTAAATAATTGAGTACTAAACTCATCAAAAGTATTTAAGTTTTTGCACGATCCTACCTTTAATAAGTCAGGGGTTATCCCTGTTTGGTTTAAAAAACGATTGACCATTTGTAACTGGAGCTTATGTGCTAAGGTATAGCCAAGATTGATACGACAGGGTATTGCATTTGCAAATGCTTTTAACACTTTATGTTTGGACTCAAATCTTAGTGAAGAAGTTAATGAAATCGGACCATTTGCAAGAAGAAGTCTACCATAGTGTGTAAGAATGTGATATTTTGGTTTCAATGAACAATTGGAAAAATATAAATATAATCGATTATGTTCAGAAACCAATGCATCAAGTAGATGAGAACATTCAGGTTGAAGTACCCTAGCACAACAAATATCAATAATTTTTCTAAGAACTATATATAATTTCCAAATTTCTGTTTCCATTGGAACCAACTCACCGACAATGAGACCAAAATATCGCACAAAACACAAAATTTCAGATGATGACATTATTATACATCCATTTCTCAAATGATTTTGGTTAATTATTGGTGGTGGACAATTTTTACGCTCAGTTACTCCGTATTCAAATAATATTATCCGGTTATTTAGATCTTCAAGTGAAAAATATTTAAGATTTATCAAGTGGTTAATAATAACTGACATATCATATCTTGCCACCCCTTCAGTTATATCATGCAATGTAAGTTGTAACTGTATTAATTGACTAAAACAACTTACAAGTCTATACTCAACAAGACTATGAAGAGAATTGCGATTTTCGACTATGCGAGTAGCGTACTTATTAAGGCTTTTAATCACTGATAAGCAAACGAGTAAACTAGTTAGTCCACAAATTGGTATCGATTTTGTGGTTTTCTTCTTTCGCGCTAAAAATAGGTATTAACACAATAATAATTCAACAATCATTGATAACATCAGCCCCTGATTAAAACAACACTATTAAAGTTGAAATAACAACAGCGCATTGCCAATTTCAACTCAAATTGCGGTTAAAATGAATGATTTATTAGCTGGTTAAAATGAACAAATCATAATTGCTAAGATAATTACATGCCATGTCATTTTCAATGTATAAAGGTTTTATATTAACAAGATTATATTCAAATTAACTATATTAATAAGTTGAAATAATAATATGTATATTGTTATTTTAATATTAACTATAGTCAAACCATATAGTTTAAATATACTCCTGTTGGTGTTAATTCAAATACAAAATTTGTCTAATTAACAACTACACTGTCAACAACATTGTAAAAAGTTAAATCAACAATAGTATTTCTATGTGTGTGAGTAAAGGCGCCCGTACATTTCTCGTTTCGTCTGATACGATCCACGAAACGTTTCTTTCACTAACAATCTACCCTTAGTTACTTTTTGTTTGTATACGATTTGAACATTTATAAATATTGTAAATACGGAAAACTATTAAAAAACTTTCTACTGGATGGAAAAAAATGTTAAAATCTTAGGTGTAAACACGACCTTGTGAATATTTCGATTTCATACAATAACTTTCGGCATCTGGTTAATAATATTATTAACTAAAATAAATATTTCAAATATATTTTAAATCTAAAATATGTAGTCAAGTACTTAAATCTTAATCGAGTAAGTGTTTTAAAGACATCTATTATTTATATATTAGAATTAAATAGTAATTTTTAAAATGTCAATATTATCCACATTAAAGAGATATTTCATACCAGATATGGTATAATCTTTTCGGAGTTCATTTGATCAAAGATATTTCATTTAGTATTTTTATTTCAGTATTTCGGTTCCATGACGACGATTTCTGTATTTGTGACGTACAACATTTTTCATTCTTTACAATACTCGTTAAATATATAGAGGTAGGTATTCTTATAAAACTTTAAAAATCCCACTGGAGACTAGGTATATACGGGGTTTTATAAACAAAATATGATCACAATGGGATAATAAAAGGTTTTCGTGTATCTTCGTTGTTTTTGCACGAAATGCTGTTTTTTTTAAATATCACCGGATGTATAATCATTTTAGGCTTTATAAATCTTAAACGCAAACGCAGTAAGCCTACGATATTCTTGGGTTTCCCCTCTTTTTTTTTTGTGTCGGAAGTAAGGTAAATTATGTAAATTATTTAAGCCGGTTAACCGAAAAAATAAATTACCGTAACCAACCTGCACGGATACCATTTCTCAATAAATCCGTATCAATGCCTCACAGGAATGGTATAAAAATAATAGGTAAACAGTGAATAACTTACATTATATATTACATAAGTAGATATTATACGATCAAACAATTAATTAAGTATGTACGGAGTAATATTATGTACCTGTGGCTTGTTTAACTTTCAAGCAGAATTAATTTTGTAATTGTTTTTTATTTGTGACAATATTATACAAAAGATCTATATCCTCAGCTGTCTTAATGTAAATACGTTTCCCATCATTGATTTTCATACAACCGACTACATTATTGAGTTGGGTAATTCGTTTGAATATATTGCGCTAAGTGAATCCAAATTAAAATGTATTTGTTTGTCAAAATATTTTCGAAAAACGATAATACTAAAGCTGAACAATAAAATAGATGTATAAAAATAAAGTAAAAAATACTTTAGAAATGCAATCGTTGCATTCGTATTATTTATGTGCGACCATCAATATGTTTTTCAATACTCATCCCACGATCGCTACTTTTTCCGAGTGGTACTTAGACCGGGAAGTGCACCTATGGCTGAATCCAATGGAAACCATAACGCATTGTAATGATATCGCTTTTCCGGGCGAACAAAACCGATAAACGATCGACAGTTACGTCTCGAGAAGCTACGGAGAACGGTCGTGATGAAACCAATGCACTGTAAAAGCAATAATATAAATGCGAGTCGAATGCGGTGGGCGGGAGCATATGAATTCGTTAATATATTAATTATTGGGCCGAGTATACTTGACGAACGACGGTAAAGGTAATCGTAAAAACCCAAACGTACCATCGTATTATTTTGTACGATTTTGCGGTACATACGCATTATGTTTACTCTCAAGTCAAACAACTACTGTTATTATATTTATTTATTTATTTACGGGCTGAGAGCCTAATATAATTTACAGTGACATTAATAGAGTGTAGGGTTATATACATATACCAAATTTTAAAATTAGTTATTTCGTTAGAAGATTATAAAGTTAATGTACAGTGTGTTCACGCTAAGAGGTACCACTAAATATTTCAGTTCGATGACCTTGTATTGAAATGGAGTTTTCGCTGAATGACAGATATTACTTCAATACAGATTTTCAGAAAAATGTCTAATTTTTAACTCTTTCGATCGCGCGTGCTCGATACAACTTACTTTTTTTTAAATGGTAACATCAATTTTTTTTTACATATTCGGATAGAATATTTTTTTCTAAGCAATTTATGTAGGTATAAAAAGTTATTTCTAATTACAAAATTGGCATATGAAATTTAATATTTACGAGGAATAAATGTGTAACGAACAGGAATTATATACTATCTTACTGTTTTTTACTATATATCCTTGTGCAAACAGGTATTTAACAATATTGGATATTAATAAGGAACAATAAGTTGAAATTTAGTTTAGATTTTGTAAAAAAAATAACTCGTAAATATTAAATTTCATCGTTAAATTTCATATGCAAATTTTGTAATTAGAAAAAAGCTTCTTATACATAAATTGCTTAGAAAAAAATATTCTATCCGAATATGTAAAAAAATATTGATGTTACCGTTTAAAAAAATGTAAGTTGTAGCGCACATGCGAGTATCGAAAGAGTTAACAATTTGAAATTTATCTGAAAATGTGTATTTAAATATTATCTGTCATTCAGATAAAACCCCATTTCAATACAAATTCATCGAAACTGAAATATTTAGTGGTATCTACACTGTAGATAACATAAGTACCTAGTGAGATACAGCAATAAACATATAAACATAATAGCTATATAGTATTATTATGAAAAATGAGTGCCGGTGCTCATAGCCATGGTGCATCATCCTAACAACCGGCTGGTAATATATTGTTACTTTTGTATTTATATAATATATTTATATATTGTAAAAAGCCAAATGTCGTTAATTCTAGGTAATAAAATAAATAAAAATAAATAACGTATTTAATATACCTATACATACTATTACTATACTGCCGCGATAAGCGAAAACAGGATAACTCCAGTTAACATGATTATTGAGAAACACCAAATAACGTTTTCAACAGTAAATCAAGCCTAGAAAGAGTGTTTATTCAAAAAATTGGTCAAACCTTGTGCAGATATATCTAATTTTACATCTAGTATTGGTTGAACACTTTTTATTTTAATTTTACTGAATTTTTTAAGGAGAAAATGGACTTATCGTAAAATCAATATCGGACTAACTAAGCGAAAAATTGATAACTCCATAATAATGGACTTACCGGGTTATTGCTTAGACTTTTTTGGATATACCATATTTAAGTCTATGATCATACAACATTGTTTGTATGTAAAAAAATGTGTAACTCCAATTTTATCAAACAAATAATTTTAATTTTTTTCATTATAAAAAAATTATTACAAAATAATTAGACTTTTATTTTAGTATATTAAATATTTAAAAAACAAAATAAAACAATACCTTTTAGGTGGTCATCACCAAAAACAATTAAAATAAATGAAATCTTAAACAACAAAATAAATATTTTTTTAGTATAAACTTTACTGTTAAAAAAGGTGGGTAAGTGGATGTCGCTCTGCTGTACAGTAGGTTACAAGTGGGTCACAGTATGAACTATTTATGAGAATCTTTTTTTTAAATTTTCAATCTTTAGCTATAAAAACTGAACATTTTATAATTTATTAATTACGATGGTTGATAATTTTCGAGATTTTGATAAATTTTGTCAAAATGCGATCTTTAAATGGTTATAAAAAAAAATTGTGCCTATGTATTTTTAATATTTTTCAATTGCTATTGTAACAATATATCAGGAGCCTTGTATTAATTTTTCACACTTTTTGGCCCAACAGATAAAACTTTATTAATATTTATAGAAAAAAAAAACTAAAAAAATTGAAAACTGAAAATGTCCGTAAACGGCTCAAAAAGAGTCAAAATATTTTCAAAATTGTATGGTGTATAGGAAATGCTAATATAAACATTCAGTGAAATTTTCATGTATATACAGTAATTCGTTTTTGAATTACAACAAAATAAGGAAATCGCCACATGAGAAATCGAGTGAATATCCAATGTTGTAAAAATTTGAATTTCAAACGCTCATAAAAATTTAATTTGACTGTCCGGTAGAGATTTTTTTATTGATAAAGGTAGACAAACTTATGAGTAATCTTGTATTACATTTTCAAATCTTAGATTTAAAAAGAAAAATTTTTGCGAATTCTTAACTCAAAATAATTTGCTAATTTTCGTGATTTTTCCATATTTTGTCAATTTTTGAACTTTAAATGCTTATAAAAAAAAAC